ATTGCCTGCTAAATGTGTGTACTATGGCAATTTGGACGATTAATTATGATCACGTTTGATTGTGGGTTCGAGATCTTGACGTATAGTAAATTGTTACTTGGACGTGATTAACGATAGTTGGGGCACTGTTGGTTTAAAATGTTAAAAATGCCATGTTCAGTGTAAATATTTAATCATTCCATGACGCGGTAAAGTTTTTATGACTGTTATTAGAAAAGAACTTGGATAACAGTAACTACGTGATAATTGATATAAATCTTCATAAACATAATAATAGACTTTCTAAGGATGTTCGATGAATAAAACGTGAAAAAGACTTACGTTCCATATAGTAAAAGTATACCGTAATAATACATATTGTTTTATCCGTTTCCCTATAAAGCTTATAAGAAATAATTAAATTATTTAAAATTCTAATCAAAATTCTAATCAATTCTAATCCCAACCAATAGATATCATATTATTTTATGAAGGACACCACTTTGAACGTTCGAGCAAATTCCGAGCAATATACACAAATCCAAGCTACGATACCGCTTTAAATCTCGCATCTTTATCGCTTCTATCTTCAAACTTAACGCGATATTTCAACGAAAAGATACCTTAACTTTCTGAACTGTAGAAACTTTCACCGCAGATTACAGAATGAGTTCTGCAATGATCGCTTCGCCAACGACATACCAAAGTTCAATACCAATTATCATAACGGTCTTTGTAACTCAGCCTCGATCGTATCATTGCCATCGAATTTATTAATTCTGTCAAACGAAAGGTCTGCCTGCATAAAGATTCTACCAGGAAACTAGAACGTAGCATTGAAATCAGTTATCTGGCAGAAAGGGGAATACCGTGAGTTTAATAGGCCATACAGAGTCCCGATAAAACTCGTCGCTAGCCGTTTGTACTTCTTATATCTGACAAATCTTCCGGCGTTTGTCACCGATAAGGAAGAATCGAGGAGCCGGAGGCGAGGAGAATCGAGACGATCGAAACGCGCAAGATGGTCAGCTAAGGCTATAAGGAAAGGCGGGGCGAGGGTCGAAGGAAAATCGATGGAAGAAATAGCGGAATTAAGCTTTTTCGAAAGTTGCACGTGCGAAAGCTGCGGCACGGAGGGATACGAATCGCGTGTCGTTTGGTAAACGAGGGCGAAACGGTCGGGAAAGCAGGTGGCTCGTGATGGCAAAAGGGTTGCGCTACGTTCCCAGTGAAAGGAACGACGTGGAACGAGAATAGGGAGGGCGGACGAACGCGTGACAGTGTCACAAATTGAAAGTGTCCAGACGAGCTCTGCTATTTCCTCGAGCTCCTGCTCGATCTTCGTGTCCTTCGCGTAACACGATCGCAAAATTTTTCACGAAAAGCGATCGCTTCGATTCTCCTTCGCGACGGTCACGTTTGAATTTAACTTGCTAGTTTTCGTACCAGGAGTCGAAGAGTTTACGCAGAAGCTTATTTCGTTCGTGTTTTTGCTTTTATCAATTTTTTGGAGATCTTTTCAGGATTTTTAAATTTTCAAGAGATTCGAATCTTTTTTAGTATTTGGAACGATAGGCAATTGTCTGGTAATCGATTTTTGGCTAACAGACAAGCAAACATCTGCGAATAAACCGGATCGTGTGATCTGATATAGAAATATTTTTATGGTTCGAGCGATAGAAATATTTTTAATTTAGTTGGAAATTATCGACTATCGTATGAATTCTCATGGATTAAGTTAAGTAGGTGATTGGTGAGATTGAATTTTTAGAATTTTCTGATAGTTTCTTTTTCTGGCGCACCTGATAAACACGTAAACCTTGCACCGCGAGGCAAGTTTCCTAAGTCTTGAGTGAAAATTTTTAGAAGTGAAATTTAAAGCGAAAAAGTTAGGTCCAGAGGAGGTGAATTGCTGTCAGCGTAAAAAATTTGCAAAAAATTCCATAATGCTGCTAAGTAGGTAATTTGAAACTTTTGACTAGCAGCGTTATGTTTCATACTTCGTATCGTCTACAACCTGTCCAATTAACTATAAGTGACAAGATAAAACAATTCTTTCAAAACGCGTTTACATAGTTACTTTTTTTTTACTAATTCTATAAATATGAAAAAAATTACTTATGCTTAGTCAATTAACGACAATTAACCAGTACAACGTTACGTATAGCCAAGATCGAGCGTTAATGCAATTGGCAAGAAGTTTCAGCGAGTAATCACCACGATTATCTCTAATCGAAGAACTTTAGTATTTATTTATTTCATTCTAATTTATCGTTATATTAAAAACATGCTTCTACGCGTATAGAAAGAGTAAACCGCAAATTATTTGGCTATTACGATGCATGTTGTTATAAAAGGAGATCGCGATAAAGCCGGAAAACACTGATAGGCGTCACGAGAAGGATAAAAAACGACCGAAGGAAGGGAAATTACGATGTCGACAGGAGTCGGTAGAAGTCTAGCGAGTCCTGTTCATCGGTCGGTCGCGTACATGCGATTGTTTTCCCTGGACTGTGTTCTTTACGCTCGTTAATTCGATCGCGATCCGTTAATTGCAGTTCATGGAAGTAGAAACGAAGTTGGTGGAGTTAACGGCTGGTCTGCATCGTGCACCGATCAGCCCTCGTGGCTCGATAACGTTGGCGAGAATAATGGTCAGGATGGTGCGATCAGGTAAATAAAACAGGGTCTCGTGGCTGTCGTGCAATCCTCGGACAATTCCCATTCGCACACACACGCCGCTCTCTGCTTCATTCTTCTCATCCACTTTCCTTCTTCCAAATATCTACTTTCACCTCAATCTCTATACCCTTTCCTCGCACCCCTTTCGAAAGCTTCTTTTTCATTCTTGGTTTTCATTCTCTGTCCGCTGTTCGCCCCCTCCTCGTCGTATCCTCTCGGCCTCTTTCTCTTGCGCTCTCAGCTAGTGGCGTGACGCATGGCCAGCATTTATAGCGCGAGATAGCACCGCCGGTTCTCGACAGCGCCGGCAGATTTATCCTCCACGGTTATTGGAGTTATACAAAGGATTTTTCCAACTGATCCCATAAAGTATCTGTGCCTGATGTCCTATTATTTACGCAGCCGGCTCGGATGCCACTGGCCCGCCACCACCCACCACGCCGCCCTGAATTTTTCTCGAGTACCGCGAATCTTTAAAGTACGACCGACTCGTTTCCAGTAATTTAACTAATCTCGTAAAATCTGTTATATGTACCTTTCGGGACTAAATTCCTGGTACGAACGAAATCAGGGCGATTCTATGACTCGAAATAAGCGGATACGAGAGAACAACGAAATTGCTTTGGAAGCTTCGTTTTCGAGAAAATCGAGCTTATCAAATCGTCAAGTGTGTTTGCATTTGGTTAGGTCTTAATTAGGGTGGAGTGGAAAATTGGCAGGAGATCGCTTCACACGCGAATAAAATGCAGAATAACAGTTTTTGCGTGCGTAATGATTAGGTAAACTGGAACATCAAATTCTTAGAAAGTAAATTATTAACATTTTCAAAAGCGAGTGTATTTATATTCCTATCTCCTATTATTATGAAATGAAATATCGAGCGCTACGTTCTAATAAATTGTCAAGCTCGAATTTAATCGAAAAGTAATACGCGAAGTAATTTTTAGATGGTTCCGCGTTTTTCTTAGTTACATCGTTCTTAAAATCGTAATAAATCGAATTGAAAGAACTCGTAGGGAGTTGCGGACACGTATTACAAATGGAAAATATTCAAGGTGTAGGGAAACAATTTATTCGGCATGGAACAGAATAAGCAAGCAATAAATAGTAATAACAAAGTTATAAAAATAATATCTACGGATTGCATTCTTACTTCTTTGAAAAGAATATCTTGCTTGACGTAAATGGAGTGCAGGTTCTTGCGTTTTGTAAAAGCACTCTTTTTTGTTGAAATATGAATAATGTATCGCGAAGAAAACCTCTATGCACTATATACTGAAGCGCGAAGAAAAATTTCTGTTTTACATTGAACTTTACTTTCTATTTTTACATTGAAAGCAGAAAGCACGCGCTAGGATAAAGGTATTTCTTTCCTGTTCCTACGGCTTCTGAATGACATTCTCTTTCACAGTATAAATATAATGCAAGCTTCTGTTCCCCGTAGTCTGTTGTCATTGAAGAGGTAAATGATATGTACGAAGAAAAGTCTCTACATTTATTTTTGCATTATCGTATTCTTATCTCCTTCCAGAATTTAAGAAATAATATTTTTCTTGAAAATACAAGTGTTCCAATATAATACTCGTATCATATTCGTCTATTGGGACGTGGTAACGCGCACACAGTGGCGTGTTACGTTGGATACTTACAGAAATTTTTTATGAATATATTACGTGTGTTGTACTGGTAAAAAACATTTAGAAATTTCGTTAACACGATAATGAAATGCGATCGTTACGATCGTATTCACGATGTTCGAAACAAACTTGACAATGTACGTAGAAATCACAAGATATTGAAAATACATACATTTTGCAAAATTGATATAAATTGCCCCTTTCGAAATAATATATTAGGTTGTCCGAAAAATGTATTTCTTACGCAAATGTGATTTTTACAACAGTGCATATTCATGCAAACGTGAAACCAAATATGTGAAATGTCGCGGTGTTTATCTCGACATAGCAAATTGGATCGTACGTAATTTGGCAAAATAATATAAAATAAAAAACATTGTGCGTCTGTTATTTTCTCATAAAAAAAAGAAACTTTTCGGACAACCTAATATTTAAACGAAAATTAATTTAATAAATATAATTATAATAAATAATATTTTACATATTTACGCAATATGAGTTACTACGTGTTTCTTCGTAAAATTTCCTGGTTTCCGGGGTTTCAAAATATAATCCGCTTGCGAGAATACAAGTGTCCTCTCCGAACAAGAACCCTCTGTTTTAACCAGAAAAGACCCACGATCCTTTGTCCGAGGTAATCGATTCCTAACGAAAAAACCGTGTACGACACCCTGTAAGTGAAAGCTGTTCCTTCGTTTCTAGGACTCCGAAGGTGACACTCCCCTTCACGATGCGATCTCTAAGAAACGGGATGACATGTTGGCTCTGTTGTTGGACCATGCCGCAGACATCACCCTCACGAACAACAATGGCTTCAACGCTCTGCACCACGCTGCTCTTCGTGGAAACCCAAGGTAAGTAGCTCGCGTTTTCGATGCTTACGCTTTTGTCCGTGATACTGTGCGCCATGTTGAATGTCCCTGTCGGCGGTAGAATTTAACCGTCCGAACCGACCACTACCGAGAATAGAACGATAAAGGACTTTGCTCTAAACAGCCTGACAATTAAGAATAGCCGGCTGTATTTCTATAGCTGATGGGTCAAGACAGTCTCACACTCTCTCTCTCTCTTGGTCATATTTTTTCGATTTTTACACAATAGGTGTTGGTATCACTGTTGGCGATGTTGAGCTGTATTTTCTCGTTACAAGCTGCATTTTCTTCCTAACAAATGATTCCAGTGTATGGATTGACACGCGACGAAGAGATTTGAAAGTTTTGAAGTTACAAGGGTGAAGTTCTAACGACAGGGATGGAAGAAGAATTCATCAATTTCGTTTATGAATTTATGCGTTTATGGGGAATATGAAGGTCCAAGAATTCGCATAATACACGTAACAAAGATATATAAAATGCTTAAAGTATCTTTCGAACTTGTGACTGAATGTTTATTGGCAATTATTCGTTTACACGTGATATCTAAATACATATGCACGTTATTTTGGCAAACTGATCGACATGGATTTGTGACAGTAAAACAACACTCGCGGCTGTGAGCGTAGTCTTGTCAGCGAACGAATCTTCGTGTAATATAGACGTTAGAATGTTGGAACGTTTCTCGTTCGAATGATTTTTGATTGGATGTTTGAGCGAATCCGGATTAAATATTGAATGGAGTCTGCCTCGAATGTCGATTCGATGTGACGTTGTCATTCGCATAAATCCAAATTGTAAGGTATACAGCGACGTTAAATCGATATGTCAATGAGTATCTATGAATCTTCAACGAGGATTCAAGTAAATCCCGAGAAGGATTTTAAGGCGCCGTATCCAATCGCTCTTCGGCTTTGTTCTCTTGTTCGACAAATCATGAAAGAACGTCGAACCACAGGTGCTTCCGAGCTAGTTGTCTCTCGAAGTCTAATCGAGTCGGACATTCTGGCGAAGTACTGAGTTAATTTTACTCCAATTCTCAGCAGTCGCCGCCCTTCTGTTCAATTTCATCTGTTACAATCTCGAGGATCTTCGAGGTTTGCTCGCCTCTGTTACTTCGAGACGTTGATGGAGTTCTTGGAATGATAGCTGGTACCTCGGAATAATATCTACCTTCGATCAGGTTCTTGAAATATTATTTCCCCTTAAGAACATACTCCTCGATTCTTTAAACTTTGAATTATATCAGGAAAATAGTATGAAAATGCAAGGTCGTGAAAGGTAGGATTAATCTGGTAATAAACTGTCACAGGATAGAGAAAAATTTGGATGCTTGCGCTTACTTTAATCACACTTGCAAAGATATTTCCGGTACATTGTATTCAACGCTATAAGCAACGAAGAAAATTTATCACGAGGTTTGGATTAAAAATTTTAAGCGGCTGCTTCGTTACGGAAAAATATTAAATATTCCTCTTGAATATTACTTTAATCCCATTTATATTTAAATTTGTAATAGATTCTCATACATCTCACTCAACACTGGCAAGGATTACAAAAGTTTATTGCACAGTCATGTACATCCTTGTCTTTTGCTTAATAAACCGGAGTCAAGTTGTGCCATTGTTGAAGAACTCGAAAATCAGACCATCTCTCTTTCTCTTCCTCTCTTTCTCTCGCCAGTACTACACCCCTTCCCCTGTCACGTTTCATGCCCGTTTCCGGCCATGGAAAATGCAGACACCGGATGCGCATAGTAGTTCTGCAATCGCAATTACGAGGTACCTACTTTCAAGCTCTCGGTGTCAGCGATTCGCGCGTTACCACGCTCTCTGTTGCGATGTTGCTCGTCGAAATAACAGACAAATTTCTGTCGTCGAATGGAAAAAGCAATGGTTCAATGGTGCGAGAACTCGTAGAATGGTAGAAAGGAAACGATTATCGCGATGGCAGCTTTTGTTTCGGCGGACATCCGCGTCCTGGAATTGTCTCGTTATCAACGAGAATTTCGTTCGAAAATCTTTTTCCTTCGCTTCTTTCTACGTATATAAAATTATCGTACAGTTCCTCGCTTTGTAACTTTTTTTTCTACGCCCTTGTTTCAAATGTCCAATGTTTTTGTTACGCGTTAATTTACAATTTACATAATGAAGGTAGAATTTCAGGCAACTTGATGCTGTATTATTTTTATTTATCCCTGTTACGCACGGAACTTTGTATTTTTGAAATTACTAATGGCCATTAAAAATTCTGCAGAAACCATTTTCACTCTCTATGGCTGTCTTTTTCGTTGCTCCCGAATAAACGAAATCAACGTTCGTTATAGCTTTTTAGTACGCTGAAAGAATCAAGAACTAATGACTGTTACAATCGGATTATTGACATAAGCAATGTTATATAATTTCGAAGTGACAGAGAAGAGATTAACAGAGGATTAATGTTAGTATTTTAACGTAACGTTCCACTTTATTTACAGTAGGTCCATGTTTATGTAGCATAGAACGTACGATACACGGTGAAGTTTCATAATATATCAATCCCGTTAAATATTTAACATTACCTATTTTATTTTATTATAGGCGATATTCGTACTTCAATCATTACGAATCGTCGTTTACAAAGTCATTGCTAATTCGAACGAATTATAAATTTGGCCCGCATTATGATAAAGCGAGGGAAAGTCACAGTGATCTAGATAGATAGTAAAATGTCAAGTTTGGATAGTGTAATTTCGAAACGTTCCAGCAAAAAAAAAAAAAAAAACAATTTATGATCTTACGCTACTGTAAATAGAGCAATATTTGCTTTCATATCGAGTTGCCAGGTCGTGAAAAGCGAAAACAATGAACGTGCTTGGGCAAGTGAGACACGATGGCTCATAGTCGACTAACGCGTATAACGGTTCGTGAATTCCACTGTATTACGTTAATTGAATGCATCACGTCGACTCGATTCAATCTCTCGCGCCATAGTCGTTCCCATTTGTGCGAAGTTACCGAAAATACTGCAGCTACTTTTTCCCTTCAATACTTTAATATCTATATACTTCCAATCGTTTTAGGTATATTTTTACATATTCTGCACCATCAAACTTCCTATAAACGCATTAATATTCTACCTATCATCGTTCGTACGACTCGATAACTCCAAGCTTAAGAAAGAAGAATGTTTCATAGGAATATTTCACACCAAGCTGTGATCCATTACAGGAAGCTGTAACGTTAAATTACGAGTATATATTCCCATAGAAGCGAAATGTAGGTTGAACGTGGAACACAACTTGACCCAGAAGCGTAAGTGGTTAATCATTTTTCTTCATCAAAGAGCTCGCCAGGCGTTCGATTTCGAACAGTCGATCAAGTTAGTCGGCAGAAAAAAAAAAAGAAGACGCTTGCACACCCATAGACGTGGATCCGCGGTGGATCTGCGGTTAGCTGGGGGTAGATTTCAAGGGGATGGTTTTCATGGTGCAAAGCCGGGGATAGAGGGTGTCTGCGAGACCGGGTTTTCGCATCCGCGTCTATCGCCTCCGGATATTACCTACCTTCGTTGCTTTTAAACCGGAGGGCGCTGATTACCGCGGGAAGATGTATGTGCCGCATCACCGACCGGAGGATGTATTTCAAAGGGAACCTATTACCCTGTTTTTCTATCCCGTTCTCTCCACTGCTCGCTCTCTTTTTCTCTTTCGTCTTTCCTGTCGACAACGGCTTCCATAGACCAGCCATCAGGTACCTGTATCTGCGTGAAAATCGAGCGTGACATTACGCAGAAACGCATTACCTGGCGCGAAACGAACCTGGAATTAGATTAGCGAATGATTTAAGATATCTGCACCGGCTCGTTCTTTAAGTAATTCCGTTTCTCATTCATTCTTCAGCGTGGAGAAATTGTTAACGAACGTGGCGAGCATGGTCATGGTCAATGTTTCCAAGTTTGGTGATTATCGGAGCTGAATTCTTGAGTGTACATCTTCCATATTCTCGAAGATGGTATCCTGCTGGGGGTAGCCATCCACATGAAAAATTAGAAAAATTTTTCAAATGTTCAGCTGGACGAATTGTAAAGTACAAATTAAATAATAATAAAAAAGAAAAAATCTTCCATATTGATTCATATGAGTCCTATGTAGAATACGCGTCGAGCTTTGGAAAAATGATAATATTTTCGAATAATTATTTCATCTCACAATTCACGGTTAAAATTACATCGTACAAGGTGCGAGTGTAATGGATAATACGAACGACTTTCAATGTTAAAAGTAGTCTATTGTACCTTGAGGAAGTCGTGGAAAAGTGAGGAGCTAAACCGAACACCGAACTATCGTTTATTATAAGTTTTGTTTGGCGTGAAATTTTTCAAGTGATAGAAACTTTACTGTTATATTTTTTGGAGCGAGGAAAATGTGGGGAGTAAAACCGAACACCGAGCCATCATTTATTATAAGTTTCGTTTACTGTGAAATTTTTCAAGCGTTGGAAACTGTACCGCTAAACGATTTTTAAAGTTCTTCCCCTCTTTCTTTTTTCCCGAACGAAAGGAGATCGATTTTCTAATTTAAGACGTTAATCGTATTTCCCAATATATAAACGAAAATGTACGTATAACTTGTTAAATTGTTTGATCGATTTAAGAAAGAAAATTATAAAATTATCATTCATCCCATTCACTGCAAAAGTGTTGTGAATTACGACTTACGTTAACAATTTAAAGAAGCTAATAATTTTAAAGAAACGATGTACCTAGCACATGTAAAACGAAGGAGAGAAGGAAATCGAAAATAGGGAGAAGAAATATCAGAGATTTGCTTCTCTCGCGGAGAAGCACTCCCCCAACTAACTATACTTATGAAGCGACTTGATAAATGATCCTAACGCTCAATAGTCAGCCACTAGAATGAATCGATGAAAGTCAGGATGGTGAACGATCAAGATTTCGGTTGGAAGGTTGCTCGCGGTTCGATTCGCCACGGCAAATGGATG